TTGATGTGCTTGGTCGAGATCAGCCCCACGTCGCAGCGGCACAGGCCGTGCAGGCGCAAGGTCTTTCTGGAGGTGTGCTTGCGACTGCGCCTTCCACACCAAAGCCGTCCTTGGGTGTGCAGCGTAGTGCTTCCTAAAGCATTGGAGCGAAGGGAGAGATGCAGGCGCGTATGGGCACGGACGGTGCATGCAGTGAGGGGCAGGAGTTTGGGGTAATTTATCACAGTCCCTGCCCATTCCCCACCTCGTCCACACCAAACCCCTCTCTGAAAAGTACACGTGGCCACATGGCATGATGGAGGATGCTCACAATAGCGTGACTGCAACTGGGGCGCGGAAGGTGGTATTGGCTACGTCGGCCAAGAGGATCGCGGGTCTACGACGCCGTCGGGAAGCGATGTGGAAGGGGATGTGATAGGTGGCGATAAAACTTGCACCACGGATCAAGGAGGGACATCACAATACAAGCGAGTATGGAGATAGAAGTGGAGAAAGTGGAGCGCCAAGATCCTCGTCTAGGAGGAAGGTAAGGAAAACCGCACCCGGATGAGGTTGGGTTTTTACACGAAAGAGATTGAAGCTGTAACGGCGTACGCAGCTGCGGTGCACGTTGTGCAGAATGGTGAGCAAATAGCTGGAACAGTCGAGCTTACGGATGAGGAGAGGTGTATGGTGCAAGGGTGCACCTTCAAGATCATCAAGAGGCTTCTGAAAGGGCGGATGTGGTTCAGATGACATGAGTGCATAGGAGATGAGGAGGATTTGCACTATGAGTCACAGGAGGGGCACAAAGAAGAGGAGGATGATATGGATACGGATGAACACCCAGACGAAGCTGCTGTGGCTGGTCGAGGAACTCCACAGGATCTCAACATCAGCGCAGAGGCCACAATCACGCCCGATGCTGAAGCTGACGTGAACACGGGTGTTTCTCTAGGGGATGCGATTGACGGTGTTTAATTTGATATCGACTCGGAATGTTTAGAGATGGGATAAATGATATATGCAACAAAGGGGGCATGCGAAATAGATTGCGCGTGATTCAAATATGTGCATGTAGTGTACAGACTATAGCGAGTGCAACTGCTGGTGTGTTATATGCTGGAGACTTTATACACGGCATATTACTGTCAACTATAGTTGGCTAGTATTCGCAGAACATTGTAAATCTACGGTCTCCATCGCAAATGTGTGCTTTGCCGCACAAAGAGAATCCGAGAAGTGCGCGTGAATAGTTTGATTGGTCCCCGTGATTACGGGTGTGGCAAAGGTTTCGGCGGAAAATGCTTAGCCTTTGTATTGCATTCATCTAATCACCTTCATAACGAGGGATACTCGTGCGCACACAATACTTGGCCGGCGTGCGGTTTCCGAATGTTCCATGGTTTCACAGTTCGAAATGGAGACACGTCGGAGAAGCAACGAGCAGAACGGTCGCGCGGAAATTGGGCGCGGCGAGGGTCCCTACAAGTGCGCAAGGGTGGGCAAGCATAAGGGTGTTCCCGCACGCGCTATGGTCCAGGTTTTAAATTATATGTGACTGTTGCTTCCTCAGCATTGTTTTTTTCCACATGCCGCTCGGCGCGACCTTAAAACCCGCAGCCTGAATTACAAAAAAAAATGGGAGGTGTTAACACCTCCCCTCCCGAACCAGGATGGTTACCAGGTATCCACCTGCAAAACATGAAAGAAGTCGCAGGCAGCACAGGGAAGGGTCGCTCGGTTCCTGCGTAACCACTCTGGGCTGTGGTGTGGACACCAAACTCTGTCATGTAATTCAGGTCGTCAGAAAATGCTCAGTCTGAACCGCTAGAGCGACAGCCATAGCTTAGAAATTCTCGGCTTCCAAACAAATCCAGCGCATGTCGGAAAATTCCGCCTTAGGACTCTAGGACCGGGACTCCATTCTTGCAATCCGTCGCTAAAGCTAAACGCGGTCCTAGGTCACGTTTCCACGTTTCCCTATGGTGTTCTAGCTAAAGCCGTCGCGGATGAAAACTCTTTCCCGTCGCCCACGCGCACTCCCCTCGAACGAGCACGCTCACTCCCCTTCCATCACCCTCGCGCACTCCATTCCGCTGCCCACGCTCAAGACCTGCCCGTCACCCACGCTCCCTCCCTTCCCATCGCGATCGCGCAATCGTACCGTGGCCCAAGATCAGTCACTTCCGTCGCCCACGCTCACTCTATCCCGTCGCCCACGCTCACTCCCATTCCATCGCCTCCGCGCAATCCTTCGATCGCACACGCGAACCCCGCTCGTCGCACACGGCCTATTCCCTCCCGTCGCACACGGCCTATTCCCTCCCGTCGCACACTGCCTCCCGCATCTCCGCCTCACCCATCTCCTCCTCACCCCACCTCCGTCCGCGAGCACTCCCTCCCGTCGCGCGCCACAACTCCCCTTCCGCCGCCCACGCCCTCTCCCTCCCGTCGCGTTCTCTCACTACCCTCCTGTCGCCATGGTCCCCTCCGTCCCACACGCTCAATCCCCTTGAGGGGAGACCATCACTCACCCCCCTCGCTCGGCCACGCAATTTCCATCTCGTCGGCCGCGCTCACTCCTCCCCGCCGCGCACGCTTCCCCCCCATCCGTCGCCCACGCTCACAGCCCGTACTCCGCACACGCTCACTTCCCTCCGTCGCCCACGCTCACCCCCTGCCCCTCGCCTTCTCTCATTCCCCTCCGTCGCCTATGCTCCCTCCCCATCCCTTCCCTCCCCATCCCTCACCTCCCCATCCCTTCCCTCCCCATCCCTTCCCTCCCCATCCCTCACCTCCCCATCCCTTCCTTCCCCATCCCTCAACTCCCCATCCCCGCCTCCCCATCCCTTCCCTCCCCATCCCTCATCTCCCCATCCCTTCCCTCCCCATCCCTCACCTCCCCATCCCCACCTCACACGTCGCCATTTCCCACCTCTTCCTACTTCCCATCCCCCTCTTCCGCCCTTCCTACATCCCTCTCTCAAATCCCTTCCTCTCGCCCTGCCATCCTTCTTCCCATCCCCTTTCCTCGTTTCCCCAGACCTCCTTTCCCCATCCCGTTGTTCCCTCTCCCTCCGTTCCCCATCCTTCCATTCCCCATGCCTACTTTCACCATTCCACCATACCCCATCCCGCGACCTTCCTGTCATCTCCACCTAGGTACAACCTAAATCTCCGCCTCGCCCCATCTCCGCCTCACTCAATCTCCGCCTCGCCCCATCTCCGCCTCACTCAATCTCCGCCTCGCCCCATCTCCGCCTCACTCAATCTCCTCCTCACCCCATCTCCGCCTCACTCAATCTCCTCCTCACCCCATCTCCGCCTCACTCAATCTCCTCCTCACCCCATCTCCGCCTCACTCAATCTCCTCCTCACCCCATCTCCTCCACACCCCATCTCCTCCTCACCCCAACTCCGCCTCACTCAATCTCCTCCTCACCCCATCTCCGCCTCACTCAATCTCCTCCTCACCCCATCTCCGCTTCACTCAATCTCCTCCTCACCCCATCTCCGCCTCACTCAATCTCCTCCTCACCCCATCTCCGCCTCACCCAATCTCCTCCTCACCCCATCTCCGCCTCACTCAATCTCCTCCTCACCCCATCTCCTCCACACCCCATCTCCTCCTCACCCCAACTCCGCCTCACTCAATCTCCTCCTCACCCCATCTCCGCCTCACTCAATCTCCTCCTCACCCCATCTCCGCCTCACTCAATCTCCTCCTCACCCCATCTCCGCCTCACTCAATCTCCTCCTCACCCCATCTCCGCCTCACTCAATCTCCTCCTCACCCCATCTCCGCCTCACTCAATCTCCTCCTCACCCCATCTCCGCCTCACTCAATCTCCTCCTCACCCCATCTCCGCCTCACTCAATCTCCTCCTCACCCCATCTCCTCCTCACCCCATCTCCTCCTATACACATCCGCTTCTTTCCCCTTCCCTCGTCACCGCGTCCCCTCCTCTCCCCATCCCCTCCTCTCCCAAACCCATCCCACCTCACCACTTCCCTCCTCTTCCCATCCATCCTCTCCTCATCTCTCCCCATCCGTCCTTTCCCCATCCGATCCTCTCCCTCTCCCCTCCAGGTGTTTCACACACCGCCCTCGGCCCAGCGTCACCTCTTCATCCCGTGTGCTTTTCTGCACCAGGGAGCTGCTTGGGGCGCTGTGGGCGGATGGTGATGGGCAGAGTCACTTAGCAGAGGCAGTCGTGGTGCTTCTTGTCCTCCCTTTCCCCCCCGTCCTCCCAACATCACTTCCTCCCCTCTGCCCTCAATCCCTTCTGCCCTCAATCACATTCTTCATCCTTTCTCCCATCCTTTTTTCCTCCCTGCATCCCTTCATCTGTTCCTCCCTTCATCCATCCATCCTTCCCTTCCTCTGTTCCTCTCTTCCTCCCTTCGTCCCTTCCTCCGTTTCTCCCTTCCTCTGTCCCTCCCTTCCCCTGGTCGTCCTTCTGTTTGTCTCCTACCGTTCCAGAAGTGTGAATTTATTTCTTCCTCTTCGTGTTGCTTGCTTGTCAGTTGTCATTCTTTTTTATGCTTACCGGCTGGAATGTTGGTTGTTTGATAGTACCACTAGGTATGACACAGCCATTGGAATGTTGTATGTTTATTATTATGACTAAATATTGATCCATGGAGTAGTGTGACCATTGACCACCTACGAAGTGCAACAATCTAGGAAAAAGGAACCAAGATACTCATTAATATGTCCTTTCCCACTCTTGTCTGCATACACAGCAGCAAAAAAGCAAGACTTGTGGGTCCCTCCCTACACCTGGTGCTGGGCACCTGTACAGAATGAGCAGGAAAAAACAGAGTGCAGGGGAGACAGTGAGCAGGGGGGAAAGAGAGTGAGAAGGGGGGAAGAGAGTGAGAAGGGGGGAAGAGGGTGGGCATGGGGGAAGGGAGTGAACAGGGGGGGAACAGAATGAGCAGGGGGAAACAGAATGAGCAAGGGGAAAGAAAATGAGCAGCGGGGAAGAGAATGAGCAATGGGAAAACCGAGTGAGCTAGGGGGAAACAACCTGAGGAGGTGAGAAGAGAGAGAGCAAGGGGGAAGAGAGCAGGGGGGAATAGAGCAGGGGGGAATAGAGCAGGGGGGAACAGAGCATATAGCAGGGGGGAATATAGCAGGGGGGAATATAGCAGGGGGGAATAGAGCAGGGGGGGATAGAGCAGGGGGAATAGAGCAGGGGGGAATAGAGCAGGGGGGAATAGAGCAGGGGGGATAGAGCAGGGGGAATAGAGCAGGGGGGAATAGAGCAGGGGGGAACAGAGCATATAGCAGGGGGGAATATAGCAGGGGGGAATAGAGCAGGGGGGAATAGAGCAGGGGGGATAGAGCAGGGGGAATAGAGCAGGGGGGAATAGAGCAGGGGGGAACAGAGCATATAGCAGGGGGGAATATAGCAGGGGGGAATAGAGCAGGGGGGGATAGAGCAGGGGGAATAGAGCAGGGGGGAATAGAGCAGGGGGGAATAGAGCAGGGGGGAATAGATCAGGAAGGAATAGAGCAGGGGGGAATAGAGCGGGGGGGAACAGAGCATATAGCAGGGGGGAATATAGCAGGGGGGAATAGAGCAGGGGGGAATAGAGCAGGGGGGATAGAGCAGGGGGAATAGAGCAGGGGGGAATAGAGCAGGGGGGAACAGAGCATATAGCAGGGGGGAATATAGCAGGGGGGAATAGAGCAGGGGGGGATAGAGCAGGGGGAATAGAGCAGGGAGGAATAGAGCAGGGGGGAATAGAGCAGGGGGGGATAGGGCAGGGGGGAACAGAGCATATAGCAAGGGGGAAATAGAGCAGGGGGGAATAGAGCAGGGGGGGATAGAGCAGGGGGAATAGAGCAGGGAGGAATAGAGTGAGGAGGAGAGGGTGAGCAGGGGGGAACAGAGTGAGGAAGGGGGGAGAGAGTGAGAAGAGGGGAAGAGAGTGAGCAGGGGGAAAGAGAGGGCGACTGGGAAAGGCAGTGAGCAGGGGGGAAGAGAGTGAGGAGGAGAGAGTGAGCACGGGAAAACAGAGTGAGGAGTGGGGGAGAGAGTGAGAAGGGGGGAAGAGAGTGAGCAGGGGAAAACAGAGTGAGGAGTGGGGGAGAGAGTGAGAAGGGGGGAAGAGAGTGAGCAGGGGGAAAGAGAGAGCGCGCAGGGGGAAAGAGAGAGAGCGCAGAGGAAACAGAGTGAGGGGGGAGGAAGAGAGTGAGCAGGGGGAAGCATAGTGAGCAAGGGGGAAGAGAGCGAGCAGGGGGGAAGAAAGTGAGCAAGGGGGAAACAGATTGAGGAGGGGGGAAAAGAGTGAGCAGGGGGAAAAGAGTGAGCAGGGGGAAACGGAGTGAGGAGGGGGGGAGAGAGTGAGAAGGGGGGAGAGAGTGAGAAGGGGGGAGAGAGTGAGAAGGGGGAAAGAGGCCTCTGCAAAAAGGAAGCAGCGATTGAAGGGACAACAGTGCTAAGAAGGTGAAATGAACGAATGGGAAGGTGACATGAACGAATGGGAAGGTGACATGAACGAATGGGAAGGTGACATGAACGAATGGGAAGGTGACATGAACGAATGGGAAGGTGACATGAACGAATGGGACGGTGACATGAACGAATGGGAAGGTGACATGAACGAATGGGAAGGTGACATGAACGAATGGGAAGGTGACATGAACGAATGGGAAGGTGACATGAACGAATGGGAAGGTGACATGAACGAATGGGAAGGTGACATGAACGAATGGGAAGGTGACATGAACGAATGGGAAGGTGACATGAACGAATGGGAAGGTGACATGAACGAATGGGAAGGTGACATGAACGAATGGGAAGGTGACATGAACGAATGGGAAGGTGACATGAACGAATGGGAAGGTGACATGAACGAATGGGAAGGTGAAATGAACGAATGGGAAGGTGACATGAACGAATGGGAAGGTGACATGAACGAATGGGAAGGTGACATGAACGAATGGGACGGTGACATGAACGAATGGGACGGTGACATGAACGAATGGGAAGGTGCAAGGGAGGAATGGGAGGATAAAAAGGAAGTTGATTAGGCTCGGAGGCGGGTAGGATGGGAGGAAGGAAGGAAGAAAGAAAGAAAAGCGGAGTAGTTTGTTCGCATGAGAGGATGAGGGTGAGAGTGAGGGTGGGGAAATGGAGGAGGTGGTAAACGCGGCCACTGGGAAGGGTAGAGAAGGCGAGGTCGACGGGAGGGGGAAAGCGAGGGCGACGGGAGGGGGAAGCGAGGTGGGCAAAGCGCTAATATCTCCTGTGCCGACCATATGCTACGTGCTTCACAGTCGCAGTCAGCGCCTGCGATTCCCTTCGATTGCGTATACGCGCTGCACCTACAATTCGATCGTCCCTAAATTGTGTTCACTTGATATGCGTGGTTGGTGTGCGCGATGCGTTGGGTCCTAAGAGCTAATGTCTAACTGCTAGCTTGTTCTGTCGCGCTGGTTTTCTACTCTGCTCCAGCCCTCTGACGAGTTCAGTGTTGTTAAGTCCGGCCGCCGTTGGCCAAAAGAACGGTGAACCACCGCAGCAAAAGTGATCCCCCGCTCCCAGGCAAAATGGGTGCGGGGGTTGTGCGGCCCTGGTTCACCCTCAAAAGGGGGATCCAGGGGCCGCACCAAGTGATGCGGGGCAGGGACAAATGTGTTTCTTTGTCCTCGTTGGCCCATTTGCTTTCAGGCCACCCAACCATCCAATGGTTAGTGGCGAGCGGAGATTTTACGGTCTGCGAAAAAAAAACATTAGACCCCGCAGTTGCGCGGAGGGTCGTAGGAGGTTGTGTCGCACCAACGACGGGTTTGATGATTCGCAGAAGCGTCCGGCCGCACCAAGTGATGCGGTGCTGTGCTGTCCGCCCACCAATTGGCCGATGGGCAACAGAACACCGCCCATGTTGCCCGAACCCCAAACCTGCCGAACCAAGCGTTGACTCAGTTTTTGTAATTCAGGCTTCGGGTTTTAATGCTTTCTTACCTACAGAGTTCATGTCCCGCCCCCCCTAGTTGTGGCTACTACCGCTCATGTGACCTCTAATGTCACGCCAAATGCTGCGGTGGCGTCTAGTGCAGTCTTATTTTCCGTCCAATGGTGGTATTGATAACGTTGTGGCTAGTTCCCCCATCCACAAATATTTTAACTGAGTCCGTATGAATCTTCCCACTAAGTAGTATCGGATTGTCTACCACTGTACACTCCTTATTCAGTCGGGTGTGGTCGACTGCTTAAATCGGCGCTGTCACTCGGTGAGGGTCGGTTGGGTCGGGCGAGCGAGTTGCGTGATTTTTCAGTAGAGAACCTATTTGCTACTGACGTCTAGCGATTCTGTGTTGCTTAGTCTGTTTTTGCTGCTCTGGTCCCTCCTTTCCCTTAGCTTCCGGTTCGCGTTTGCGGTGCCCTGATCGATTGCACGCGAAGTAGCACCCTTTGAAAAGTGCAGCAGCGGCATTCACAGCAACAGCGCGTATCGTGGTGTGCTCGTTAGTCTCACGAGCCCAGTGCCCCCAGTTCTTGTTGTAGGACCTTGTTCTCAGAGCGAAGAAAGTCAACCTTCTCTGCCATTACGAGGTAAGTGCAAAAGTCGACTAAACCGAAGGTATCATTGCGGTGTCGTCCACGCTCACCACACCATGCGGAGATAACTCTTACAACGGGAGCTAGACTACGTGCAAGGCACGGGGTAAGAGTGATCATAGCGTTCGTTCCTTAGTCGTTTGCTCGTGTGTTCACTGCTTGCACATTCACGGGGAGATTTTGCAAGAGTTCCACTAGCAAAAGTTCACAACAATGGTTTAGACTGATAGCAACAACATTGGCAAGAGCGTTAAATCAGAGCTAGCAAGCATGCAGGTCGACTGCCAGCGCAGCACGGTCGACTGCGATCCAGCGTTGCAAAGCTCGCACCGCTCCAGCGCTGCAGAGAAGCGGCTTTCCAACGTTGCAGGTCCACGGCGTGCCAACGCTGCAGCAAGGCGGCTGAACAGCGCTGCACCCACATGACAGCAGCGCACCCGCTTTGCAGGTGCTCGCAGCTGGTTGGCGTCCTGTGCCCTGTCATGTGCACAGCGCGGACGCCACGCCGATCACGTGCCCACATCAGCACCTGATCCTCCACGTCGACCTCAGGATTCCACACCGAGGTCGGCTTCGCAAAGAACACCTGAGCGACCGTCGCACACTTCTGCAATACTCCGTCGCCCGTGTAACTTGGTCGACCAGGCAACCAGGATGCCCAGGTCGACGTCTAGGCGCCCAGGGTGGCGTCTAGACGCCCAGGTTGGTGACTAAGATGCCCAGGTTGGCGTCCAAGCGCCCAAGGCGCCGTCCAGGCGCCTAATACGCTGTCCAGGCGCCCAGGACGGCGTCCCCCACTGCAGGAGGTCGGTTGCACTCCCCGCACAGCAGACAATAAAGTCGACTCCGCCCAAGCAAGGATGGGGCAAACACACAACTGCCGTTGACACTCCCCTACCGCGTTCATGCTTGAGCCTCCACCCCACACGGCAGCTCTACTAAGAGAATAGCTCGTCAGCGTGCACACAACACACAACACGCCAGTCACCGCACCAGCCGTGCAGAAGGGCACGGCACCTACTGCTGCACGTCGTCGTCGCCGTCGCCGACGTCGGCCAGGCGCACTTGGCCGATTGCGACGGAGCACTGGTTGAAGGCCGGATAGTGCAGCGCCTTCGTCAGGAAGTCAGTTGGCTGCTCGATGGTAGGAATATACTTCAGCGTGAACTTCCCGCGCTTCACCATGTGCTGCAGCCAGGCGTATCGCCACTCCATGTGCTTGAGGTTGCCCTGCAGCCCCAAACCCTCGGCGTCCTGGCGTCCAGCAGCTGGAATTTTGCAAGGAGGAAGCGAATGCGGCGTCCCTCCTTGCCGGCTTCGGTGGCCGCCACGTACTCCGACTCGGTCGACAACAGCGTCGCGCACTTGATGCGCTGGCTTGATCAAAAGACTGCGGCCCCTCTGTAGACAAACACGTAGCCGCCCGTGCTCATATGGTTCTGCTTGTCGCCGACGTCGTCGGCGTCCACGTAGCCGAGCATCTCCAGCGTCTCTGGTCCACTGCCTAACTCTAGGGCAGTATCACAAGTGTTGGCAAGGTAGGCGAGACAGCGATCGACCTCGCGCCAGTGCTGGTCGCTCCTCACTGTGAGGCCGCTCCCCAGCTTGCTGCCGATGAAGGCGATGTCCGGCCTTGCGTCATCGCCGCGAACTGCACCGAGCTGACCTTCTGCCGGTAGTCCTCCTTCTAGCGCTCCTGTGCCTCCTCGCCATCGAACGTCAGCTCGGCGTAGGCGTCGACGGAGACCGGCGTCTTTGGGGCGCGCCCGGTCTGTTCCTCGTTGATGAATCTCCTGCACAGCTTGTCAGCGTTGTTCTGTTGGTGCAGCCACAACTTCCTCGTCGGCCTGTCGCGCACTATGTCCAGCCCGAGGTACTTCTCCACCGGCGAGATCTCGCGCAGCTCGAAGGCGGCCTCCAGCAGCTTCTTGAGCTCCTTCAGCATCGCAGTGCTGCTGCTTGCGGCGAGCAGGTCGTCGACGTAGACCAACACCCAGCAGGCCACTTTGTCGTTGCCGATCTTGAAGTACAACGCCTCGTCGACCTGGCTCTTCTTCCAGCCGGCACAGACCAGCACCTCGTTAAGCGCCTTGTACCACGGCAGCGGCGATTGTTTCAGCCCGTACAGGCTCTTCAGCAGCTTGCATACCCGACCGGTCACGTCGTTGTAGTAGTCCGGCTGGTACATGTACAGCACCCGGTCGAGCTTACTCTGCAGGAAGGCGTTCTTCAAGACGACGACGATGCTGAAAAAGATCCTCAGCGTGATGCAGCTGCTCACCGGCCCGTACGTCTTGTCGTAGTCGGCGTCGTACACCTGCGTGAAGCCCTTCACGACCAGCCTCGCCTTCTCCCGGGCGACCGTGTCGTCGACGTGGTACTTGGTCATCAGGACCCACTAGTTCTTCATGATGTTCACCCCGCATGGGCGTTCGACCAACTCCCAGGTGCCCATGCCGATGAGACTGCGGATCTCCTCGTCCATGGCGGCCTTCACCGCCTTGCCCTTCCAGCTCGCCAACGCCTCCTTCACCGTCATCGTTGCGATGTCCCAGCGGTGCTCGGGGTCGGCGTGCACGTCAAGGTCCATCTTGGGCAGGTCAACGTCGTCCTTGGCATCTTCGTACAACGCGTCATCCTCGACGTCGTCATACACCATGTTGAAGGCGGCCGGCGGGAGACAGACATGGTAGGCCAGCCGCTCCGGCAGCCTATTGACTCGGCCGGAACATCGCAATTCAGGCTGCTCGGGGTTGACCTTCACTACGTCGCTGTCTGCTCGGCGTCCGACTCCTCCCCTTCAGCTTTGCCGACTTCACTGTCCTCGGCGTCCTGCTGCACCAAAGCCGGCGTCCCAGCCGACTTCTCCGTTGCCGGCAGCTCCCCTGTCAGCTCCACCGTCCGCTGCTCCCATGCCGGCTGCTTCCTGGCAGATGCCTCCGTCGCGGACTTCACCTTTGTTGGCATTTGCTCATTGGCCTGCTGCTCCCCTGCCGTCGTCGGCTCCGCTTCCGCACCAATTTTCTTCACGCCACGTCGGCCACCGGCGATGCCCTTGGCCGGCGTTATAGGCAACGCCCCACTGCTCTCCTTATCGCCGGAGGACGACGGCGATGTCGGCGCATGCAGATCGGCTACGAGTCGTGGAATGGCAGGGGTAGGGTAAGGAGGAAGGACATCTTTGGTGTCCTCATCAAGAAGCTCACCGACCTCGTCGAGTAGAGGGAGTGTCGTGGTGGAGGTGTCTATCGGCGAGTTTGTTGGCGTCCACCCCGTCGTCGGCCCGTGCTCCGACTTCCACACCTCCAGCGACATCGTCTCGTAGAACACCACGTCCGACGTGGTGACCACCCAATTGTCGGTGAGGTCCAGGATCTCCCAACCCTTGCTCTCCTCCGACAATCTGAGGTGAAG